TAAATAATTCCCCCGATCTAAATTTTCAGCACAGTGATTTTTCGACATTAATTCAATGTGATACTTAAATTTAGAGCTCCCATTATTTCATCTTTTATTACGAATAATAAAAATGACCAAAATTTGATATGAGTAATATGAATAAATGAAAGAGGATAAAAAGATTTATAAAATGTCATGAAATTATTCACAGACAATTTGTTGTATCGGTTTTACGAATTTTGCATTTACAACAAGTAAATCTGCATCGAATTGTAGCTGCGTATTTAGCTAAATAAATATTCGTGTTTTGTGATCGAAGATAAATTAACTTTAACTGGTTAGTTATTATAACAAGAATTTCATCCTGTCGATTGAGGATTAAAGTGCGGTATCGACGTCGTCATCGACTGAACTTTCCTTTTCTAAGAACAATAAGTTCAAAATAGAATGAAATCAAGATACCACAAGAAATTGTTTTAGTAAAGTATTCGGAAGATAAAATGTACTGAATGTGATTGTCTATTATGAATCTTATACAATATTTATTTTAGTTTATTTAGAACAGTCCTTCACATAAATCTGTGTGTTATTAAAATACGATATTATACATATTTACCTTTGGAATAACGAAAAAAGCAATTTAGGAAAAGATACAAATATTTACTGTATTCACAGTATAATATTTTCCAATAATCAATCATTAATTAATATTTTTCAAAAATATCAGTTTGCTTCTTTAAATGTAGTCGAACCGTGCGACCACTCACAATACTTTTTAAAGCCGATCGCTGTAAATTAATTATGTAACAGTTATAAATAGTATAATTTGCATATCCATACGATTTGCTTGTTTCTCTTCTCGTTCCGCAGTGGCTTCTGCTCGAACATTTTTACGAGCACGATATAAACGTGCCACGGAATCATCGCGTCTGTGCGGTAATGTATGCCGGAGCGGGTGGCTGGTACCCAAGTGACTTCAGCTGCTAACCAATTTACGATCAGACGGCCATACGACCACGAATTGTATGTTGTTAATCCAATTGGATCCTGTTTGAGTTTCAAGAGAATTTTCTTGCAACGTTTACTCGTTTCCCTTCGTTCTCGTGTTTCCTTTCAGTTATATCTAACACTCGTCTTCAGTTGAAAAGCTAATAGAAGTAGGCGTGGTTTAATGTCTCTAAAAATAAGAAACCTAACTTGCAGATTTTTAAATTGCATTATTGTCCCGTGCGCCGGATCAAAATTCTTTAACGAACAAGTGACGTGTAAATCGAAAAAAGTCCGGGGGAGACATAAGCTTTGCAAGTAGGGGTAGAAAGGAAGAGCCACGTGCAAAGTTGGACATGGGGTGTTCAACTCCGACCAAAGTGCATCGTATCATACGATTCGTGCACGCGCTTGCGCGATCGTAAATCGGTTAGCGGCTGTCGCTTAGCGCTGCATGTCCGCCTTTAGCCGTTCGTTCCGGGGGACGGATGGCTTTTAGAGGGGTTGGCAGGGTCGGCTTCGAGAGAAAGCGCGCACGTCGGATACCGCTCGAGAGAAGGATCGATAACATCGACCGCGGAAATATACCGACTTAATAATGCAGTCGATAATCACGTTGAAAGACCGCGGCGGCTACGATGCGACGCGACACTGCGATAGCCAATGAGGAAGGGTGACAGGTCGCGAGCATAAGTAATTCGATCAGCGAATCGAGGTATCAGAAAAAGACTCATATGTAAAGTATACAACAGACAATGGACACAATTATTGACTGATGTTAATCAATAAATATTCGCCATCTGTTAATACTATGGATATATTTAATAAATGTTAAATCATTGCAATCTGTATTATTAATTACTCTTTATTTTAGTATATTAATTTTATACTTTTTTGTGTTATATGTATTTAACTTTACGGCACTTCGTATCCGGTTAGCATAAATAAATTAAGTGGACAACGTCTATATCACCTGTCTTGTCATTGTCACTGCCCTTGTAAATATCGCTGCGCGAATTCGTTTTCACTGGTACTTCGACTCTTTTACATCACAACTTCCTTAATTTGAAAAGAATTTAAAGATGCAGTCTAGTATTTCGATGTAATGTAGTGTGCAATAAACCTCTTTGTTTTTCTGCCTCAAAAATATAAGGAATGGAAACGACCCAAGAAAATCTGAAGCTTGATAATGTATCTTTCAATCTTCATACGACTCTGTTTTACAGACAATACGTTGTTACATGGTGTCCGGATGTTTACTTTTATAATAGCAATTTACAAAATAACATGCTATTTTGGTTTATATTTTGTACATTTTTTTGTATTGTATATTTAATTCAAATCAAATGTACAATAGAAAAAATGTTTACAGTACCACAATATATCTGTAGCCTGGAGCAGTGCAAATGTTACATTTTTGCAAAAGTAGTTAAGCTAGGTATTGTGTTGTAAGCAATTGTAAAAGAACAATTTCAATTTCTAGCTAGAAACGACTATGATGGCCTTTGTACATCCCGATGTGAAAACTTTTGATAAAGTAAGCTGATTAAGCTAACGGACCGATTTGCCAAAAACACAAATAACATAAGTTTTAATTCTCTTTTTATACATTAAAAAATAAATTTTAAAAAGCAGGAATTTTCAGTGTTAGAGTCACTTTAACGTGAAATTTTTGTGCTAATATCTCAACTTCATATACATTAACATTCGTAATTTTTGTACCAACCCTTAGATATAACTGTATATGTAAAAAATATTCTGATATAGATATACAATCGGCAGCCATCACAATAGTATCTCTATATGAAAATACAGTGTAGGTATATATGCACTTGAGTTTTCCCGCCCGACGCTTTTCCGACCCTCTTTATCGCGATATCAATTCCGTCGGTGAGCTCAACGCCGCGCTGGCCTCTCGACGTCCATTACCTAAGTGTCCTAAGTAGATCGACAATATGCGAACGGTTACGATTATTACCCCCGCGATAGTTAAATTGGAACGCTACATATACTCGATTTAGACGGCTCGATCCGTGTTGTACGCGTTCAAATCGCGCTTCAGTGTTACCAATATAAACGAAAGTAATCAAACCAATTTGCAATTTCTTATAAACTAAATACTGTAATTTTTTATAAATAAAATATGTATGTGTTTACTAAAATACATTCTTGAAGATCCTATTTTTTATGGGAAGTAATGAATAGTACAGTGTGCACCAAGGACTTAAAATGGGCCTTTCCGGGTGAGATTGATGTTTGAGCATGAGTGGCAGTCCAGTGTGCCATAGACCCCCTCGTGCTTAAACATCAACCTCGCCCGGAAAGGCCCATTTTCAGCCCGTGTTGCACACCGTATTTTTTACAAAAAGGTCATAAAGACTATCTTCCGCCGTCTACAAAGTGGATCGAGAATATATGTAGTCTGTCGAGTCGTCTACTTAAGAGTATTATGTATATATGTGTATGTATATTACATATATAAGTGGACCAACAATGGTATTTTACGGCCGTAGGACGAGAAAACTCTATTTTCAGTCCACTTTATAGGCGCCGAAAATGGTCTTTTTTTAGCCACGTGTTATAAAAAAGTTCTTTTAGAGTTTGTAAATGATATGTACACTAACATTAGTAAAGCGATATGCTGTCAAAAGCACCTGCGAGAATATACATATTTCAAAATATGCTAAATGTTTTCTCAATAGGTCAATGCAATATTTCATCGTTCAATTGAAGATGGTTAACGTACATATTAGCAAAGGGTAATCCACCGAAAGTAAAAATGAATTTTAATGGAATGTAAATTTCTTAAATAATGAAACTCATCTCAATAACGGATAAATAAATTCGCGGGAAAAAGAACAACGAAGACTCTGCTGCTACGTATAGCTTATTCCCTATCTACCCGTAATAAAATGTTTAACCAGGAATTAACAAATCG